CAGGCCTGACACCTCCGGCGGAGGCATCAGGCCTGGTCAAGGGGCCGATCCTGCGATTGGAGGGTGATGGGGGGTGACGCCTCTGGCCGATGTGTCAGGCCTGTGTGAGGGTGGAGCTGGTGATCGGGGAGGTCTGGGGGTCCCCTGCCCAGGCCTGCTGCCTCTGGCCAATGCATCAGGCCTGGGCGAGGGCGAAGCCAGCCATGGGAGGGAGATCGGTGTCCCCTGCCCAGGCCGGATACCTCTGGCGGAGGAGTCAGGCCTGGGCAAGGGGCCAATCTGGTGATTGGAGGGTGATTGGGGTCGACACCTCTGGGGAGGTGTCAGGCCTGGGTGAAGTCAGAGCCGGCCATGGGAGGGAGATGGGGGTCCCCTCCCCAGGCCTGTGGCGGAGGTGTCAGGCCGGGGAATGGGGCCGATCAGGCAATCGGAGGGTGATGGGGGTCTACGCCTCTGGTCTAGGCGTCAGGCCTGGGCGAGGGCAGAGCCAGAGATTGGGCGGATATGGGGTCCCTTTCCCAGGCCTGAAGCCTGGTCCAGAGGCATCAGTCTTGGGTGGGGGACAGAGCCGGTGATTGGGGGAAGATGGGGGTCCCCTGCCCAGGCCTGAAACCTGGGCCGGAGGCGTCAGGCTTGTGCGGGGGGCGGAGCCGGCAATCGGAGGGGTCTGGGGGTCCCCTGCCCAGGCCTGATGCCTCTGGCCGAGGCATCAGGCCTGGGCGAGGGGGGGGGATGGGGGTCCCCTTCCCAGCCCTGAAGCCTGGGCCAGAGGCGTCAGGCCTGGGCCGGGGGGGGTGGGGGGGGCAAGCTGGCGATTGGTGTGAACTACAGAGGAAACACCTTCTCTGACCGCTCATTGGCTAAGCTCCCTGTATGCCACTGGTAATAGTCTTAGTAACTTGGGTAATAAGAATCCAAAAAGGTGATCTAGGGTTTCTCATCACACTCCTGTTGAAAAAAACGAAGGTCCTCTGCTGGAAGGCTAAGAAATGTCATATCCTGCCGTCGCCAGTTTGGCTCAGTTGATAACGCCTTGGCCTGCCGATGGCAGGGTCTGGGTTCAATTCTGACCAAGGGCATGTACCTAGGTTGCAGGCTCCTCCCTGGCCTGGGCCCAGGTCAGGGCTCATGCAGGAGGCCACCAATCAAAGTGTTCCTCTCACTTTGATGTTTCTCTCTGTCTTTCCCTTTCTCTTCCACATTCTCTAAAAATCAATGGAAACATATCCTCAGGTCTATATATATAAAAGGCTAATATGCAAAGTGTCCCCTCGGTAGTTCGACCAGGAGACCAGGAGTTTAATCGCTTGCTATGACTTGTGCTGACCACCAGGGGGTGGCATGGAACATGGCGGTGACCAGCAATGGCGGCGGGGCACTGAGGGAGAGAGGGAAGGAGGAGGCGGGGAGGCAGGGAACCTGATTGGCCCTGATTGCTGGCCAGGCCTGGGGCCCCTACCCATGCATGAGTTTCATGCACTGGGCCTCTAGTTGTTAACATAAGAAACTTTCAAACCTGTAAGGAATTTTTCTGAGTTTATTTGAGCCAATCTGTCAATAATTGCTGAGAAGCAGAATCTCAACATATGGAGATAATGCTCAGGAGAATGGCGTTTTTTTCACCTATTTTTATACATTATAATCAAAGGAGGAGACGAAAGTGGGTTACATGAAATCCACTAGTGATAGATTAGGGAGGCGGGAGAAAGCAAAGCAGGGAGACCTCTGGGATTGGATAAAAAGTAAAATGATAGACACATGCTTCTTTTACATAGGTAGGTACAGGATAGTTAACAGTCAACAATTAACATGATAACAATAACAATGAAGAAATTTGTGGTCTCCATCCTGGTGTCCTGGTGCATTGGTTGTGCCTTGAGGGGTCCGGAAAAAGAGAAGTTACAAATTACCCTGACATTCCAATGATATGCTATCATAGATACAAAAGACAACAAACAGGTTTAGTTGTCTAGGACATGGCCACCTGCCATCAACTGCTTTTAGTTAAAAAATTTTTATTTCAGACCATCCTTTGTGGTTACTTTAGGTCTCTAGGGTTTGCAAGGCTGCCACACAGGCCTTCCCTGAACTAGTCAGGTTAGTATGTGGCCCCTTTTCATCCACATAATGAATTAAATTGGGTTATTGTGACAAATTTAATATTTGGTTTCTCTCCAAAGAAGACAGGCTTTTTGAACATGGCTCATATTAGTCTTTTGTTAACTCTCTTCTTATAATTTATCAACAAAGGAGGGGTGAACAGGAATCTACCCAAGGGTGGTTGATATTGTGTCTTCTTTTCCCATGTGTTTTCCATGGGCAAAATAGTGGGAGGGAGATTGGCTGTGTAGGAAGGTATTTGGAATTTGTGCTTTAGGTACATAACGAAGGTTAAGTGCCCTCTTCCATGTCCATTCCCTCTGCGTTGGCTTTTTCTATTGCTCCTTTCAAAATACCCAACACTAAATATACTGGAGGTTTTACTAATTTAAGAATGTGCCTCATTCCACTGTGCCAATTTCCACTTCTACAGTTTGATCATATTCTTGGATCAGCCAGCTCAATAATGCCATGTAGCAAGCCATTTCAAAACTTTTGGCTTATACAACAAGCATTTAATTCTTGCTCATGTGTTGTTGGAGAAGCTGGGGTTTAGCTGATCTAGGTTGGGCTTGACTAGGCTTAATTGCATACCTCAGGGTAGGTTCCAATGTACTCCATGTGGTTCTTATTTTCACATGGAAAATAGAAGTGTTATCTTAGTCTCTGCTGAAATTGAGATTCTGTGTTCTGTACATGTTCTATATTGTTGACTGTTATGGAAGTTCAGCGTTGTATCTCTCTATTCTGTGTACTCGACTTGCAGATTTTTTTATACTAAAAATGTAGAATAAAGACTATTTTGAAGGTTTGATTAAAGTGATGAGGTACCATTACACAAAACAAACAAACAAACAAAAATCCAAAAAACAGTTGGTCCCCATGCAGGAGCTGGACACAACAGAACATTGTTAAAATGAGGCTTTTCCTCTCAGGTACTATACAAATGGTGACATTTTGGTGACTCTGACATGTGATAAATGTTTTAACCTCCCGGATATGTTTAAATGAGCAAAGGGATGCCATATGAAGACATGCACATCAAAGTTCTCTTTACATATTAAATTGAGCAGTGCATGGAAATATGTTTAAAATATTTTATACTACAATCACTGATTAGAAAATACAAGGAGACACAGCTTTAATTTTTCTATTATGTGTAAGCTAATTTATTCATCTAGAAAATGAGAAAGGCTGTCATTTATTTTCATCAATGAAGGCTCTAATCAAAGTCCCAACTTCCATCTTGTAACAACAAGGTTTTAAAACTGTAAAGCTGGCAGTCGATGGTGTGATTATATTTCTATGAAATAAAATGGTGTTGTTGACCAGACTCAACCCCACCGAAACTGCAGAGTCTGAGTTCTCACCATTCTTGGTCATCTCGTTCCAAGGAACCAACAGGAGACTCTGGGCTCCTCTGATTGGGATTGAATGCCTTTTGATATATAATTTTTTATCTTTAATTTTATGAATGCATTGACATCAGAGATAATTTTTTAAAGCACTATTCACAGTCTTTTATATGAAGTTCACACATGCACACAGATAGACATACAGACACACACACTCCACAAGCATAAACATATACCCAGGTATAGTCAGTAACTTAAATAATCAGATTTGTGGAAAATACAATGAAACAATTGCAGAGGTAATTAATGTCATGTTCATTTGCTATAGAAAAATAAAGCTCAGATTGTGTGAAGGAGACATGTAGCACTAGGGCAAGTATCAGTTCACATAAGAAAGACATGTTTGTCTGTCCAGAATGAGTCTTTCTGGAATCCATAGCTGGAAATCAGGTTTTAGTAGAGCCATTTGGTCCAAACATTGGAGAAAATACAGTTCCCAAATTTGAGTTTCAGCAAATTGTGTTTATCCTGTCAGTTGAGTGACAGTCACCTATTCTTACAAATGGATAATTGTTATTCAGTTTCTTTATTTATTTTCTGTTAGTCACTTTACATTAATAGGGACAGCAGGTGACAATATAAGTGAAGATTAGAGTGAGAAGAAACATATTAATGGGATGTTATCATTAAAAGGGGGATCTTCGAGGTAATTTTTTTCAATTTTTCTATTGTTTGAGTAAAGAAAATGAGTCCTAGAGAAAGGAAAAGCTTTTCCCCAAGACCAGAGGCTGAAATTGATTTTTTTTTTTTTAGAGACAGAGAGGAAGTGGGAGGGAGGGAGTGAGACATAAGGGGGGTGGTGTGGAGAAACACTGATTTGTTGCTCCACTTATTAATGCATTCATTGGCTGCTTCCTATATGTGCCCTGACCAGGATTGAACTGCAACTTTGGCATATGGGACCACCCTCTAACCAACTGAGCTACCTGACCAAGGCCCAAGTATTTTATTTTTAAGCCCTTGTTTTATCTCTTTTACATTCTGCAGACAAATCCCCTTCCATTCTAACATTATTAGGTTTAATTTTCACTCTGTTTGGGAGGACTTACATAAATATGCTTTAGTTTAGATCTCTATCATCTTCCACGTATCATTTCATTCATACAACATATACACAGTGAGTGCTTTGTATACACCAATCACAGTTCTAAACACTAGAAAACACCCTTAAGAATCTCACAATAAACTCTCATTCTTTAAAGAAAGTGTCACAAAGGTAAAAATGGGGAGAAAATAATGGTGCTAAGTATAATCATGGTGAGCTTCTGAGTTTAAATAAGATTTCTCTGGTCTAAATATTTTAGAAAATTGCCTGATTATGAAATATTAGGACAAATATAATAATAATGATGATACACAATACCTTACTTTTGTAGAAAGTGTTATTCTCTCATTTTTCCTCCCCCAAACCCCATAAGATTATTATTGTCTTCATTGTACAGATGATGAAGTTTAAGAGTATCCAGCGTAAGTTGTTACTTCCAACTATTTATCATTAGCTTCCCGGAAAACCTTTCTGCCCCATAGTTTCTTCATTGCATTCTTTACTTCTGCATTTCTCATCGTATAAATCAGTGGATTTAACATGGGGGTGACAATGGTATAAAATACAGCCACCATCTTATCTTCTGAAAAGGTAGTATCAGGGCGCATATACATGAAAGTACAGGGACCAAAAAAGATGATGACCACAGCGATGTGGGAGCCACAGGTGGAGAGAGCTTTGCGCCTGCCATCTGTTGACTGTTTTCTCAGGGACACCAGGATGACAGTATAGGAGATCAGCAAGATAACAAAGCTCCCCAGAGCAATGGTACCACTGTTGGCTGTCACAACAACACCAACGACATATGTATCTGTGCAGGCAAGTTTCAGCACCGGGTGGACATCACAGAAGTAGTGATCGATCTCATTGGGTCCACAAAAGGGTAGTGGGACTATCAGGGCCACTTGGATAATGGAGTGTAGGAACCCACCTACCCAGGTCCCCAGCAGCATTTTATTGCATCTGTCCGGGCCCATGATAGTCATGTAGTGTAGGGGTTTACAGATAGCCACATAGCGATCATAGGCCATTACCGTGAGGATGAAGATCTCCGTGCAACCAAAGAAATGTACCCCGAAGACTTGCAGCATGCACCCTTCGTAAGAGATAGTTTTGCGCTTGGCTAACAGGTCGACAATCATCTTAGGAGCAGTGACTGAAGAGTAACAAATGTCCACAAAAGAGAGGTAGCCGAGAAAGAAATACATAGGAAATTTGAAAAGGTTGCCCTTGTAAACTGTCAGCATGATGAGGAGGTTTCCCAGGAGAATGACTGAGTAGAAGAAAGAAAACACCACGAAACAAACTTCTTCCACCTCTAGGTTTTGAGAAAGGCCCCAGAAAACAAATTCAGTTACATTGTTTCTTTTCCCCATTGAATTAGTCTAGCAGACCAAGGTCCCAAGAGACAATTCAGTTATCTGAAAGAAAAACATAACAGAGACCAACAGAGTTAGTATTTCTAACTCGAACAAACAAATAATCACAGTCGTTGAAAATAGAAAAATGGCTATTACTGCTGCTTGGCAGGCCTACAGGAAGAAACTGGAGTGTGAGCATCCTACCTGAGCGTGATAGTCCATTCCTTCACTTCAGATGAGAAAACAAACTCCAGGGAGATAGTGCAAAGCCTCTAAGCCACACATCTGGTCAAGAGTCTTACCTCCCTCACCCTTTATTAAGGTTATTTTGATCTGTTTCTAAAAATGTACTTACTTCTTATTCTGTAGAAGGCAGTCAGCTTAATTTTGAAACAACTTTTGTGTTTGGAGATATGGTAACAATTATATATCTGAATAAGTTTGTCTTATTTTTGACACAGAAACAAAAACATATGCCCACATTCTACAGGCTGTTCTTCTTATGAAACACTGACCTTTATGTATATGAATTTACTGTCCCCTCTTTGCCATCAAGTTCTTATAGTGAAGAGTGGTGCGGTGCCGTAGAAAGAGGGCCAACATGATACAAACCTGATTCTGAGATAATGGTGCTGTAATTCCAGAGAAATCCCTTAGCTTCATGGGGCTTCTGTTATCCCATCCGTGAAATGGAAAGGTTTTCTCTTCACTATCATCTATCTTCCTACCATAAAGTTAAATATATTCTGTCAGCCTGAAATAGCCCTAACACCCTGATAAGGAGGCAGAGAGAAGAGGAGATAAAGTCACAGAAAAACCCTCTGGAGACAGATCAGGACCTGTTTGACTTGAAAGGAAGGGAAGTGAAGTCTCAGGTAATTTCTGTCTTCAAACCCAGTGTTTGAAGATTCCACAGGAATTACTTTGACTTGGTATTTTAAGCATTTGTCTGTTAACTGGAAAACAACAACAATAACACACACAAAAAGACAAAGAAATAAAGGAAGGACTTTGCCCTTAACCTCAGCATTCTTTCATGCACCTTTTTTTTTTAAGATCACCTTTAAAAAAATTAAATTTATTGGGGTAACATTGGTTAATAATAGATTTCAAGTCCATTTCTATTTACATGATCTGTACATTGCGTTGTGTGCCCACCACCCAAAGTCAATGTTCTTCCGTCACCATGTATTTGACTCCCTTTACCCTTTACCACCCTCTCACCCCTCCTTCCCTCTGGTAACCACCCTTCCCTCTGGTTACCACCACACTGTTGTCTGCATCTCTGCATGCATCCTTTTTAAACTTTCAATTTTATGCTAGTTTATATTAGGTCTCCCACTATAATTATATACTTGTACATAATTATTAATTCTGCATTATAATGATAAACATGAATTAAGTATTTCTGGAAGAGATCTTCGCTCAAAGATACTTTAATGGGGTTTAGGAAGAAGACAATATTTACTTTAAATAGATAAATCTTCAGTGGTGGAATTTCAGGTACTCTAGTGAGGTCACTAGAATGTAAGTGTGGAATGGGGTCTGTGCACCAGTTTGGACTCATTGGGGCTTGCAAGATATTCATCAAGCAAAGCCACAGAGGTGACTCCTTTAGTTATTGTTTAGTATGGATTACAGAGTGTCTTAGGTAGTCATTAGAAATGTTGTCCATCTGAGGCATGTCATCCCAAGATCTGTCAAGTTCAGTGCCCTCAGCTGCCCCTTTGCAGCAAAATTGTACTTGGCATGTCCAGCTTTGGGGAAACTACAGGCTGGCTTTTCTCAGGTCTGTATATAAGAGTAGGTAGAGCAGTCATTACAAATGTGCCTTCTCTTGTAATAGTAATAATAATAATAGTAATAGTGATAGTGATAGTGATAGTGATAGTAATAATATTAATAATAGTAATAGTAATAGAAATTCAAATTCAAATTCAGACTCAAACACTTCCCCCTGCTTTTATATGCTCATCCTTCTTTGGATTTTCTTTCTGAATTTTAAAGAAGAATATTTTCTACTGAGAAAATCTTTCGATTTAAGAGAGCTCAAGTATCAGTTTTTGACAACTGTGAATTATGCTGCTTGGTTCTCATCTAGAAGAAATTGGGTGTGTAAACACAAGCTTGGGAACTGTGCCCCCCCTGTCCATACCATAAGGTCTTAGAAGAATCCTTCCTTCTCTTCAAATCAAGACTCATCTAGAAGAATTCTTTCCTCCACTTTCTGAGCATTTCAAACATGATGCCTCATGTTCCTTTGAAATTATTGGCATTTGCTTATTCACAACCATGCTGTCCTATCTCATAGACATGTCTAGATTCACTTTATTATCTTATCATTATCTCAATAACTTTATTCTCCCCTTATTTATGAGAATAAGGTTCTTGCAACTATATTACAGGTTTTCAAAATATAGCAATTTGATTGAATTCCCTCTTTCCCCAAACTTTTTGGATTAGTTTTAGAAGAAAGAAAATCTCACCAGTATTGTCCAGAGGTTGAGTCTTGCTTTATTTTCCTATCTCTTCTGAGGTGATGTTGGTGCAGCTGTCCAAAATAAAGCAAGAATGAAGCCTTAGGAATTGCTTTGTGAGTAATTACTACCAGAGAATTCCTGACCCCAAAAGTCAAAGGCTGATAGAAATCAAGTCTTTGTTACTCAGGTTTTGTCTCTCACCGACTGAAATCTGCCGTTTCACAGTATCTTTGGCAACAAATGGTCTTTTCTCTACTTTTATAAAGTCTATATAAAGAAAGTGAAGCAAAATGTTAATGACCTTGGGGAACGCCTTTCCCCTAGTCTCCCTCCACAAGCAGAACCACACCAGAGAACTAACAATGAGCTTTAATTTCCAGACTCATTTTTGATTTATTGAAAAAGATTAAAGCTATTTTTATTTATTAATTTTAAAACCCAATCAATTCTTGCATTTAGGCCTATAACTCTAATTGAAAGCATAGCAAAAGAAACAACCAACAAAATGAAAAGTCAACCTATCAAATGGGAGAAGATATTTGGAAACCATCTATCTGATAAAGGGTTTTATCCAAAATATAACCAAAAAACAAATAACATTTTTCCAAAGACATTCAAATGGCCAACAGGTACATGAAAAGGTGCTCAAAATAATTAATCATTAGGAAAATGCAAATCAAAACTGTAATGAGATGGCATCTCACACCTGTTAAATGACTACCATCAAAAAGAGAAAAGTGTTGGTGAAGCTGTGGAGAAAAGGGAACCCCTGTGCATTGTTGATGAGGATGTAAATTGGTGCAGCCACTCTGGAAAACAGCGTGGAGGTCCCTAAAAAAATTAAAAATAGAACTAACATATGATTCAGCAATTCCACTTCTGGGTATTTATCCAAAGGAACTAAAAACAAGATCTCAAAGAGAGTCTTGCAGTTCCATGTTCATTGCAACATCACTCAAAATAGCCAAAATATGGCAACAACCTAAGTCTCGGTCAAAAGATAAGGAAAAAAAAGTATATATAACAATGGAATGCTATTCAGCCATGAAAAAGAAGGAAATCCTGCCTCTTGTGACATCATGAATAGACCTTGCAGGGGTTATGATAAGTGAAATAAGTCAGAGAAAAACAAACACTGAATAATATCACTTATATGTGAAATATAAAATAGCCAAACTCATAAAAACAGAGAAGAATGGTAGTTACCATTGGCTGGGGGCTGGGGAAAATAGGGGAGATTGTGTTCAAAGGGTACAAATTTCCAGTTATAAGACAAATAAGCTCTGGAGATCTAATATACAGCATGGTGACTATAGTGTATTAATATATTTGAAATACCATTAATACTGTTATATACTTGAAAACTGCTAAGAGAGTAGATCTTAAATGTTTCACCACAAGAAGAAAATGATAATTATGTGACATGATAGAGGTGGTAGCTAATGTTATGGTGGCAATCATTTTGCAATATATAAATATATCAAATTAACAGGTTGTATACCCTCAACTTATATATTAATTATATCTCGATAAAGCTAGATGAAAAATAGCACCTCACACTTGTCAGAGTACTGGTGCCTATTATTAAAAAGACTCAAGATAGAACATCAAACTTTACAGGGAAGGCAGGGGAGGGTGGCAGGGGTGGAAGAGATCAACCAAAGGATTTGTGTGCATGCATATAAACATAACTAATGGACACAGACACTAGAGGGGTGAGAGAATGTGCTGGGGGGTGGGGGTGGCTGGGGAGAGGTCAATGGGGAGGGGAAAGGAGACATATGTAATACTTTAAACAATAAAGAATTTAAAAAAAGGTAGTAAGTGTTGGTGAGGATGTGGAGTGAAGGGAACCCTTGTACACTTCTGGAAGAAATGTAAATTAATATAATCATTATGGAAAAAGAGTATGGTGTTTCCTCATAAAATAAAAAATGGAACTACTATATGATCCATTAGTCCTACTGTTGGGTATGTATCCCAAGGATATGAAATTATGATCTTGAAGGGCTATCTGCACTCCTAAGTTTATTGCAGTATTATTCACAGCAGGCAAGGTATGGCTTCAATCTCATTGTCCTTGACTAATGAATGGACATAGAAAATGTGATACATACACAGACTCAAAAAAGAGGAAAATTCTGCTATTTACGACATCATGTTGGAGCTCGGGGCCATTAGGTTAAGTGAAATAAGCAAGACACAGAATGGGAAATACGGTATGACCTCACTGATATGTGGAAATGATATAGAAGGGGAGAGTTAAATGGTGGTTACCAGGGCCTAGGGGTTGTGGGAAATGGAGAGATGTTGGTAAAAGGGTACAGGCTTTCCGTTATGTGGAAAGCATAAGTTCCAGAGTTCTACTATATAGCATGGTGACTATAGTTAGCAATACCACATTGTATACCTGAAATTGCAAAGAGGATAGAACTTAACTCTTTTCAACACACACACAATTATGTAGAGACAATAGATATTTTAAGTAGTTTAATTGGGATTATTTCACATTATACATATGTCAAAACATTGAGC